TGATATCTTTGGGCTAAAATCAAGGCCCAGCCAACATGCTGGGTCACCCAGTCAGAATCTGAACTGGCCTTACTGGTTTTGTGAACTTTTTCCTGGATGAGCTGGTCTGTTGATTGCTCAAGTGTCTAATTCATGCCAAGGCAGATGCCTGGTTCAGCCAGACTCTTGGTATGTGTCCAGCATGTAGTTCCTTACCTGGTCAGGTCTCTTGGTGTCCTTCTAACTGCTCTCTGGGTTGTCCAGTTCTCTAACATCTCTCTAGGTTCTTCTTTCACATAATTCAAGTGATTGATTCCTTTGGGGACCTGAGAGTAGAAGTTGAGCAGACCAGACCTTCCCCTCACTCAGTTTCCCATGACTTACCTGAGCACTCATCTGATGACTCAGAAGATTCACATTTCAAATCCTTTCCAAGGACAGGAGGGAGCAATTTCAAGGCTGAAGTTCATCACAGCATGTGTGAGGAGGCAGGTGCACAAGTTCTGGCTGGGGAATTCAGCCTGCTGGCTGGCCTGCCTCGAGTATTTGGGCATGTTGTATCAGGAATAAGTCAGTTCTTCCTCTTTGTCTCCTTTGGGTTTGCTTCCAGAGTCCTGTGTGAGGTACTGCAGCAGTGCAGGGTTGCCTGGTTGCTCCTGCTGAGGTATCATCAAATAACTAGTTCACGTGGTGCAGAGGACAAGACATGGCCCTGGCTGTGCTAGGCTGGGGGCATCAGAGAATGGTTGAGTTTGAATGGGGCCTTAAAGGTCATCAGAGGAGATTTAGGTTAGACATTAGGAAGAAATTCAGACATGGGTGAGATCCTCAAACCTATTTGTCTCATGTAATATTCCATTCATAGATTTATAGAATGGTTTCGGTTGGGAGGGACCTTAAAGATCATCCAATCCCACCCCCCTGCATGGGCAGGGACACCTCCCACCAGCCCAGGTTGCTCCAAGCCCCATCCAACCTGCCCTTCAACACTGCCAGGGATGGGGCAGCCACAGCTTCCCTGGGCAACCTGGGCCAGGCTCTCACCACCCTCACACCAAAGAATTTCCTCCTCATGTCCAACCTCAATCTCCCCTCTGCCAGTTTGAATCCATTCTCCCTTGTCCTGTCACTGCCTTCTCTGGTGAAAAGTGTGATACCCATGTGACATGTAACACAACCATAGGAGCTGAGCTCCACTGGCTCTTCCTTGTGGGGTGCCTACCTGCTGTGATCACTTTAAATCTCCCATCCTTGCTTCACCCCCCAGGAGAACTCCTTTGTGGAGCTGATTTAGCCCCAGTCTCTGCCAGAATGTGCAGGAAGGCTCCTGGCAGGCTCAGGGCTCACAAGGAGGGAGGCAGAGCAGCTCTCCCTTCCTACAGGGATCAGCACTGAAAACAAGTAGAGCATTTTGTTCTGCTGTGTGGTGGAGACCTGAGGCACCCATAAGAGGAAAGGCTGGAGCTTCCTTTGCCTCCACCCAGGACCACTCACAGCTGGGGAATCCCTCACCTCCCTGGAGAACTTCCATTCTGTGCCTGTCAAGCCTTGGTGTTAGTTTGAATTGGGAGTTGTCACCACTGGCTTAGCTGAGGCTTTAATGCTCTGGGTTTCTAGCTCCCATTTCTTCAAGAAGGTTTTGTAACCAGGTGCAATCACACCCAGTGGGCAAAACCTTTACTTTGAATGTTTCTTAGTGGCCAAAGCCAGGAACCTCCCTGTGACTGTGGCTTTTATGTGCCTGTTTTGAGCTCTGCAGTTGGGCACAGTGTTGAATTTTGCTTTTGTGCTAACACGAGTGTGGTGTTCACTGCTCCACTCTTGCAGATTAGTTTTCAGCTCAAAACAGCAAATCTGTGACTTCAGAACTGCTAAGATTTGCTAATCTAAACCAGTCTGAGCCATAATGCTTTGGGTTTTTCCCAACTCTCCTAATAAGGTAGAGTTTTTAGCCTCAGTATCAAACTGAATAAATAGAGAAAACTGGTAGTTACAGCCCAGGAGGAGAAGCTGGAGCTGTTTCTGGCTGTTCCTCACATGAGTGGCTCAGTGCTGGGACAGCTCAGGTATGAAGAAGATAGTGGTGGGCCTTGGGGGTCATGCCAAGGACCTCTGTTGGGCATTGGTCAAGGTCTTGACACTCCATGAAAGTGTTGAAGGGCAGGTTGGATGGGGCCAGGAGCAACCTGGTCTAGTGGGAGGTGTCCCTGCCCATGCAGGGAAGTGGAATTAGATATCTTCAAGGTCCCTTCCATCCCAAACTGTCCTGTGATGTACCCTGTCTTGAATAATATGTCCACTTCTGATCTTCATCTTGAGAAAGGAAGGGGGGGATGTAGAGGGAGCAGGAGATGTGATTAAAATGACCAAGGGGCTGGAGCAGCTGCCATGCAAGGGGAGGGCAGGCCGGCTAGGACCCCTTAGGGAGGAAGGTATGGTCCATGCCTGCACCTTGCCCCATCTTCTGGTGGTAGAACTGGGAGGCAGCTGATGGAATAGCAGAAAAGATGTGCAGAAGAGTTAAAAGAAGGCACTGCTGTCCTGAACAGGTAGTGAGCTTGTGGTGATGGAGTCAGGTTTGGACACTTGTGGCAGCAAAGGGCTTGGGCTGGGATGTCCCCTGGTGCTGGGACATGATGGGTGCTGGCCTGCAGGATACAGCTTCTGCTGTCCCTGGGCAGCTCACTGCAGGGGCTGGGGGATCAGGCACTGCTGATGTTGTTCTGTGTGCTGGGAGCTCTGAGAGTTACCACCCACTCATGCTCAGTCTGAGCATGTTGTCTCACTGGGTTATTTCATGATGAGAGTTCTTTGTAAGCCTGGACAGCAAACACAGGCAGGTTTGGATCAGCACAAACATACTACCATGGGCTTGAGAACTTCACCAGTTGGCTGGCTTTTGGCAGTTTGCAGCCGTAACACCAGGGTTGTGAAGTTTTCAGGAACATTGCCCTTCATTTCCCCCTGCCCACTGCTGAATTTAAATCCATCGGTGCCTCTTCTGCAGAAACCAAATCCTCATCCAGCTGCTCTGTTGGTTTTGCACAAGCCCTGGTGTGGGAGAGGTGCTTTGCTGGGGGCTTGACAGGAGATCTTGAAACCCTCCTTGGTCCTCAGAAGCTGCCCACACTGCAGCAGGGATATCCCCTGTGCCATCGGGGCTGCATCTTTGCAGAAACCGCCCTTCAGAGCATGTTGGGATCATCACCTCCAGGCTCAGCAAGTCTGATTAAATGTCACTTGCATTTCTGGTATCTCTATATGTGGATGACAAATGAAGCTGCAGCTTTTGAACTCCAAAGAAGCTGCCAGCTGCATTAACTGGAACCGACACATTCCTGTGAGTTGTTTTTATTAGTCTAAAATACCTCTGTTTAACGTACAAGAAGCCTGACTCATCCCAGTCCATGTCTGCCATGTCAGCTCAGCAGTTTTCTTATCTGTCTACCAAAAAAGCTCCCCAGAAAGCTGGAAAAGATTGGAAAAATATGCTTCTGTTGTCTTCTCCCTAGTTGTGATGGAGTGGACCATTAGGTGGGTAAGCTTGTGCTGTGCTGAGTCTTGGAGTTTCTCTTGTGCAGCCCCCAAGAGGCCCAGCACCCCACAAAAAAAAGTGGGTTTATGGTCTCAACCCTGTGGTTCCACCATCCTGTGGGGGAAGCAGAGGCATCTCCTGCCTCCCTCCATCATCTTCCAAACCAGGTGGTACAGGCAGGTGAACAGCTCTGAGCATGTCACAGATGGGATTTTCCTGGATGAACACAGACCTGGGTTTGAGAAAAACAAACCAAAAAGCAAGCAAACAAAGCTGGTGTGTGGTGAATCAGGCAGCTCTGAGCACCCCAGCTTGGCTGTCTTCATCACCCTCAGATGGTACATCTCCTTTTAGGTGCCAGCTTTTCTTCCCTGGAGAAACTTTGGGGGATTTTCCATCTTTTTTTCTTTTCCCCAAGAACAAACCTAAAGCAAGAGATCACCCAAGTGAGTCAAAAGGCATTTTGTGCTCATGAGAGCTGAACACTTCCTCCTGTGCCTCAGCTCTGGAGGAGGAGGAAGAGGAGGGGAGGTGATGTGCTTGGCAGGGCCAGGGCAGCAGCTCCAGCAGCCCTTGAGTATGGAGCTAATTGTGCAATTCTTTCACCTCTACACTTTGCTTCCTCCTGGGCTTGTTTCTGAGCTGAAAAAATGTGGCTCTTAAGTAGATGAAGGTGCCTCAATATCCCTTTAAAATGAAAGTCTGCATGCTTGGTTTTTTTCAAGCAGAACAAGGTCTGGTGGTCTCAACTTGAGAAGCCTCAGTGGTGTGAAGAGCTTTCTGGCAGGGCAGGCTTATGGCAGCCTGGGAGGAAAAGGGACCAAATGCACTTTTTTGAAGGCTTTGTTTGGATCTTGAGGAAGAGCTGTGGTTTTGACCCCAAGCTGTGGCCTCTTTGCAGAGCCCAGATCATCCTCCTCAGGTCCCACAAGCATCCCTTGCTCCACCTGTGCCTGTCCCTGCACCCACATCCTAATCCTCACTAGCTGACGTGATTCCCTCCCCCTTGGGCCTTGTCTCATTGGCAAAATATTTCAATTATATGGCCTAAATTTGTAACATGGAGCCCTTCATTATCACTGAAACCTTTTAATTGGGCCCTCCTGCTGGGCAGTTTATTGCAGAGTTTTCCCAATTAAGGTAGGACCTCTTCAAGAAACACAAAACTAAACAGATCCCTGGTGGAGAAGGACCATGGTGCAAGAAATCCTGCCCCAACCTATGTCTCAAAACTAAGCAAGAGCTTCAGCACCAGCCAAGTACTAATTAACCCTTCTGTGCTGATTCCTGAGGTTCCCTGTACCTGATTCCTGAGGTTCCCTTCAAGGACAATGGCCACAATTTGGTGGCAGTTTTAGGAATTTGCTCCTATTTGCCCAAATCTTCTCCATGTAAGGAGGGAAAATTTGTTTCAGGGTGCTTCTCTGGTGGGCAGATGGTGTCTCCCCAAAGGGCTCTGTGGATAACACTGCTTTTGTGATTGCAGGTAAAGGACCTGACAAAGTACCTTGATCCAAGCGGACTTGGAGTCATCAGCTTTGAAGATTTCCATCGGGGGATCAGAGCTATCAAGAATGGAGGTGGGTTTGTTGCTGCTGAGCTGCCCAAGAGGACAAGAAGGACCAAATTTAGTGCCCCAGGGGCTAACCAAGCTGAGAAATCACTTGGTGGAAACAAACTGGGGTTGGTTTTCTGCAAGTCCCTTCTCTGTCAAGCAGAGGACATGGGAGCATTTAGTCATAGGGTTGGAAAAGGTGGCTCAGGGGTTGTGGTGGTGACTGCATGTGTTGCTGTTTATCAGGAAAGGTCCTTCCCTAAATATATGTTGGAAACAGAGATGCCATCAAGGGAAAGTCCCTTCTGGTTTGGTGTCTGCTCTCACCTGTGGTTTTGTGGGGGGTTGACAGAGGAGTGTCTGCTGTAGAGTGTGACATCCTCCAGCTCCTGGGCTTTCACTCCAGCTCTTGGGAGGAGCAGCATGCTCCATTGATTTCTAGCAAGCAGCACATGAAACATGAGCTTGGAGCTCACTGACTGGGAGGTAATTTTTAAACAGGTTCCTGAAACAGACCCCAAACAATCCCTGTGTTGCTCTGCATGGGCTTGTTGTGAGCACTTCCAGAGCAGTAGCTTGGTGAAATGTGAACTATCTTTCTGCCTGGTTGGCATTCGAAAAGATGTTGTTTTTTACACTGTGGGATTCATCTCCAATCTGAGTGTGAGAGGGTCATTTTGGGTCCAGTGTGTTGTTAAGAGCAGGGTGTGAAAAATACTGGAAGCCTCCTGCTGAGCAAATATGATTTTAAATGTGCAAATACAGGTGTGAATTCTGTTCACAGCAATGCCTGTCTTGACCTTCAGTGTTGCTTTCATGCAGCAATGGCTTTGTGTTGTCAGCCCTGCTCCCTGAGCATCCTTTGGAGCAAGGCAAGATGTGAAAAGACCAATTATTCCTCTAGAAACCACGTTGCATGAACAGAAAACCCACCAAGCAGAATTATCTCCTGTTCTCCTGTCCATTCCTCCTCCTGTTCCTCCTCCTCCCACCCCCAGCTTATTTCTGCTCAGGACTCTAGTGGTTTATGGCAGAGTTTTGGTGGCTGGTGTAGCTGCTGATTCCCAGGTCTCCTGAAGCAGGAGGAAGTGCAGCATGTTATTAATTTGTAATAAATTGCTCTTGGAGTCGAGTGTGTGTGGGAAAGCTCTGGCTTGTATTTCCCTTCAATAATTCATCACTCTGGTATTGTGATATATTAATTGAATGGAAAAAGCAGATCCAGGCTAAGCTTTTAGGATCTCTATTTATTAAACTTGAAAGAGATTGTGATGTATTTATTGTGATTTATGGCAGTGGTTAAGGAAGGCAGAGCTCTCTAATGTTGCATGGCACAGGATTTTATGATGCAGTTATAAAAGAAACCCAGCATGAGGGTACAGAGTCTCTGAGTCTCACCAGCTGAGCAGTTGCTCACGTTGAAGTGATCTTGAGGATTTGCTGCTGCTGTTGAGAGAATCAATATTGATCATCCCTTAAGAAGAAGTCATGCTTGCTTCTGGGTGTCTCTTTTAATAAGTTGGGTTTTTTTAATTAGCTGGGCCTATTTTTAGCCAGAGATGGTTCTGTTGCATTTCCTGGTGCTCTCTAGTTTTTTGGTCAGTGACTGAAGTGAGACCTGACGTGAGCTTGTGCCTGCAGTGTCTGTCTCAGCAGAGGGAGGGCTTTATTTATGAAGATGCTCCACTTTTTCCCCCCCTCTCTTGGAGGCTGTAGCAGAATAGCTGGGATTTTACTCAAGCTCTTAAGGTCTAGCTTGGCAAACTGAAGGTGCAGTTACAAAACTAGCACATCTTGCAGGGTCAGCTGCTTTTCTGACGACTGCTTTCGTGTTCGGTTGGCCTCTACATCCAGGGAGGACACCCAGCTCCTCCTGTGCCAGCTGTTGGAGGTATGTTCCACTGGCTGAGGAACATCCTGATCTAGGACTCCTCAGACTTTCCTTCAGTATAGAGCAAAGCAGCATTTAACCACCCAGACAGCACTGAAAGCCACCGTGTCACCTCTGCACTCCCATGGAACAGCTGTGAGCTCTTTGCTGCTGTAACCTTTGCCTGGCCAGGTAATGCTGATGGTGGAGGGGAAAGGGCCAAGTGATTTGTGTGCTACAGAGGGTGGATTTTGGGACATTTAAGAGTCTTTAGCCAGTTGCAGCTGCCTTAGCTTCTACCTTTCCCAAAGAGAAGACTGAATAGGAAAACGTGGTCTTCATGTGTGTGATTGCTTTTAGAGTGCTCTGGCTGGGGGAGTCCAGAGGCCCCCAAGGTCTCCCCTTGGTGGGAGGGGTTGGGCTCTGTTGCAGTAATGATCAGGGGGGCACAGGGGCTGCCCAGGCACAGGGAGGCAGGCTAAGAGGTGTTGCTGGAACAGGTTCATCTCCTCACAACTTGCTGTGTCTCCCAGCCCTTCCCACTCACACCCTCCCCCTGCTCCACAAAGCCTGCACTTTACCTGCTTTTAAAGTCTGGGTGGATGATGTCTGGAGAGCTTGACCAGTCCTGAAGCATGGAAAGAGCAAAGCAGAAGGGGAAACACTGGAACAGACATTGGCAGCAAGACAGGGTGATAAATAACTCTGAAAAGTGGAATTTTATGGCCTTGTATTGTAAAACTTGAGAAGCTGATAATGTAGTGGAGGCAGCAGTGAGACTGATTTGAAGGAGAGTATTTTACAGAGTGTGCTTCAAGAAGCCAGGTGATCCATGCTCAGGGAATCCACAGCCAGAGGAAAAAAGCCTGGTGGACCTGGCTACTGGTGGTGAGATCCAACGGGATGTATCTCCTGGTCTGCAGGGGAGAAGACCTGGGGAGGGAGCCAGTGTGACTGCTGTGTTCATTGTGCTTGGAGCTGCAGCTCCTGGGGGGTCTTCTGAGTGAGAAACAGGCATGAGGGACTGTGTGTGAGCCACCTGGAACACTCAGACCAGGAGGAAGGTCTCTGTATGGGAAGGAGCTGAACGTGGGACAGTGTTTGTAATTTGGAGCCAAGGTCCCTGGACCAAAGAGCAACTCCAGTTTGCTGCAAGGTGGGTGCAGGAACTGCTGGGGGGGGGGGTTCCTTTGCAAACACAAAATACAGGCAGTGTCAGCCACAGCTGGATACAAACAACCAACAAGGGTTGTCCTCACAAACAGATCCCTTTCTTTGTCAGGATATTAAAAAACCTTTTTAAGCTTCAGACACCTGGTTGTGGAGTTACTTTGATTCCAGAGGCCTCTCTGCATCTATAGGATGTATTTGAAGTCTCCTCTTCCTTGCAGAACAGGGTTCTTACCAGAGCTCAAAAGCAGCAGTGAACTAGTCATGTCATTCATGCACATGCTCTGAGCTAAAACATCTGTGACATCTGTGTTCCAGGACAAAAGCCCCCCAGGAAAGGGCTCTGTGCAGGTACCCCCTGCACATGGTGGGGTTGCTGCTGGGGGCAGGGGAAGGTGTGTTCCTGGAGCTCATGGCCTTGTCTGTCCCTCCCTTGGCTTCTGATCCCTGGACAAAGGGGCCCCTGTGCACAGACAGTGCATCCACTGAGGAATAGATGTGTTCATGAGCTCAGGGGAGGATGGAAATAGTCACATCTCTCTTTTTTTTTTCTTTTTTCAAGTGTGTCCCTGTACAGAATAGAATAGTCTTGTGTGCCTTTTTAGCTGAAGAAGCTGTGTAAAGTCAGCGGCATTTCTAACTTCAAAAGGTCAAGGTGAGTTTATGCAGGGACATTCAGATGCTTATCAACGATGGCTATCTCCATATTACATTACAATTTAATACCTATAGTTGTGTTTTGGAAACTTAGTGCTAGTATATTAAATGTTCATATGACTGATCTGGAAATTGAAGATACAATCAAGCTAATATTTTTTTTTCTTTTTTTCTTTTTTTTCTTTTTTTTTAAATGCTTCAACTGAAAGCTCTTTGGATTTGGGAAGATGGAAAATCCAGCTCCAGAGCCAACACCCAAACCTGGAAGCTCTAACCAAGCTCCTGTTGGCAGGGATGGGAAGCCAGTGGCAGGGATGGGAGGGGGGACACACAAGGCTGGGAGACACCCCAGGCAGTGCCAGCTCCAGGGGCAGCTGGTTCAGGAGCTGGTTGTGGCTCAGTGGAGATACCCCTGTAGCCTTGAATCAAAGGCCTTTAGCAGGAGGAGTGTGTTCAGCTTTCCAAAGGCATTTGATAGGTTTCCAAACAGGCAAGAGCACAAAGGCAGGGTTGAGGCAGGCTGGGGTGTTGAATAGCAAATCAAGAGCTGGCTGGTGGTCAGGGCTGGCTGGCTGGGGCAGGGGGGGCAGGCTGCTATCAGGAGCCTGTGGAGAAGCACTGGCCCATTGCTAATCAGACCTGGCACCAGCACAAACTGGGGTCAGTCGGAGCCTTTTGTGGGGCTGCATCACTAGGTTCCCCAGAGCAGCTCTGGGAGGGTTTCCCATGGGTGTAGCCCTGGAGCCCAGGCTGCAGCTGGCACCTCATGTCTCCACATGGTTCAGCTCCTGGGAGCTGAAGGCCAATTTGGGAATTTCCTGCAAGAAAAATCACATCTCCAGCCCTCCCCGGGGATGGAGGCTGGGGGGGGGAGCTTTGCATCTGAAAAATTTACAGCTAAGAGAGGGAACTCCACATCAGTTCTCTAAATGGGGTCTGAATCACTATCCCTGGGTTGCTGGCCCCACGTGCAGCTCGTGCTCCACAGCCCTCCTGCCAGGGGAGCAGCCATGTCCCTGCTGATCCAACGTCTGGGAGACACCTCTGGATCTGCTAGAGCTTAGATGACATCTCTGAGCTCCGGGTGCTCAGGAACCACTCAGTGCTTGTGTCAGTCTGCTGGAGATAAGCACCAGGTGGCTGGGAATTAATTTCTGGAGAGCCAGGCTGGCTGCTGCCCTGGTGACACGGGGCTGCTCCAGCCCTGCGGGGCGTTTGAAGGTGCAGAGCCTGTGGGATATCTGGCTCCATCTGGCAACAGAACCCACTGTGTGGTTTGTGTGTAGTTTTGGGTTTTCCCACCCCCCCCCACCCTGTAGGATCTGCAT